AGAGAGAGAGAGAGAGAGAGAGAGAGAGAGAGAGAGAGAGAGAGAGAGAACACCACTAGGAAAGTACTATTGTGGCATGTAATGAAATCTAAACAGAAACTGTCAAGGACAGGTAGGAAGTAATTTACTAATGCTAAATTTCCTGGTTTTCTATCTGTACAGTGGTTATGCAAGGAAGACTGCCCAAGTACTTAGGAAACACAGAACATATCTAAGAATCAAGGCTTACTAATGTCTGTAACAGATTTTCAAATGATTCAAGAAAGAGCACATATTAAAGAGACAAATGGTCTACAATGGTTAGATCTGGAAACCTGAAGATGTGTCCATTGCTGCCCATTGATTTGGTGCTAGAATTTAAATCTACATCTATAAAAGCCGACACATAAGTGGTTTCCAAAAAGAATAGCACTAGACTGGACTTCACTGCAGTTGCTCAGGCAGTACAAATCAATGTTTCAGTTATGTAAACCCAAACGAAGACTGGCAACAACTTCTGTAAAGGCCAGATAAAAATGCTCATCCTTGCAGGCCCCCAATCCAGCCACAAAGCCCTGTTAGAACAATAGGCTGCACTTTCTCTGATAGGAGGGAACTGGATGCTATGTCTGTGCTGCTCCTATTACTAAAAATGAGATGCACAGTGCAATTGTTTATTGGAGAGGACAGGTCATACAGGCTCCAAGAACTTCTCAGCAGCACACAGTGCTAAGGGCTACAATACATGAAATCTACTATAAAAAAGTGAACCCAGTTTTTAGCTAGCCATGCTCTTACAGTATCTTATAAAAGCATTTGTAGGTCATATAAGGAAATAAGATACAACAAAGAAGATCTGAAATAAACTATATGCCATCAAATCAGATGTCACTGCAAACTGAGAATGGCAACAGTATCTACACACAATATTGCCACTATAAATTGTTCATGGAAACAAGAAATTTCCACCACTGAAAGGACACTATCAAGAAGCAAAATGATCTTTAAATCCATTTCCATTGCTTCTGTATCTCACTTGAATCTACACCCAATTCAACAAGTAGGACGCTCCTGAAGTTTCAGGTCATGCAGTGTGGTTGGGAAGGGGGATTTACTTAGCAACAGTACAAGTGCCATCTCAAGTGTGGTAATGAGGTCTACTCCTTAACCCTGGACATTCCCACCCAACAAACACTACTCTGCTTAAATCTGAAAATCCAAACCAAACCCAGCAACCCTCCATCCTACCAAATCCCAAGCAGTAACAATCTTGAAAGCAGCACAATCCTTTTCTTGTTCAATGCAGCATTTCTGGTATTCTGACCATAAAGGTCAAATGTTTTCTTAACTACGAGCCCCCACCAAGTCTCTGTTTTCTGCTGTGCATTTTACAATTTAGACTTTTAAATGTCAATATCACATAAATGATGCATATTTATAATTGTACAGAAAAGCTAAATATAGCCACTAATAAAAACACATTCAGAGAAGTAATATTTCTGACATCATAAAAACTGTAACATTTGAAGACTTAGTTTACACAGGGCAGCCCAGCTTTCTGGGTATGTGGCACTGGTTACCTTTCCTGGGATGAAGCAACAGAGGTTGGAATCCACATACTTCATGAAGGTCATATTTAGCAGTGACAGCCTCGTTTCCACGGCAGCAAGGATGTCTGCATGACGAGCTAAAGAATGGTTTCTCCTTTCTGACTCTCTCCTGAAATAACAATAAGTCAGTGGTGACTGTTAAAGCAGTAGAGGAGAATAAAATGTTAACCAATCCAAGTATCCTAATCAAACAGATGAACTTTAACATAATAATTTAGGCATTTGCAACTGGGTCATAACTGTAATGCTCATAGATCTTTAACAAGAACTACTGCTAACAAAACATCTGTTTTAAAAATCACTGTTTGCAGACACAGTAATAGCTGGCAGTGCAGCACAGTGGTAGACCACCTGCCCGGTACCCGTGAGGCCCTGAGTCTGATACCAACATCCTTCTCTCTTTCTCCTTCAATCTCCTGTAACAGTTTTACTCACCAGTAACTCATATGTAAAACTACATAAAGTATTTCTTTATTTAGACGATAGTTGTTCCTATGCCACACTCTATTTGGTATGTAGTTTAATTAGAGTAGATTCTGTGTATTACAGAGTGGTACGGGCATTACCATTATCTAAATTCGGCACACCTTCATCACCTCAGAATGAAAACATGTACTCCTCATCAGCTGCAGCCATCTCACAAGTCATCTACCTTCTGTTCTATGATTTCCTTTTTCTGAACACCAGAATAAATGGGATCGTGAGGTAGCCTTTGTGTCTGGCTTTTCACATTTCTATAGTTTACACAGTTCACTGATGCTCTAACACTGGCCATTTATTTTGGAATAACATCCTCTTATGCACAGATACCATCCCTTTACACACCTGGGTTGTTTATTTTGATTATGAATAAAGATGCTAAGAATATCTGTACAAGTATGTGTTTTTGTTGTGTTTGGACCCAGATGTAGTGTTTGGGTTTTTTTTTTTGGGCGGGGTGATTTGAGGAGTTGAGACAGGGTTTCTCTGTGTAGCTTTGGAGCCTATTCTGGCACTCGCTCTGTAGACCAGGCTGGCCTCAAACTCACAGAGATCTGCCTGCCTCTGCCTCCCGAGTGCTGAGATTAAAGGCATGCGCCATCACCTACCAGCTAGATATGGTTTGAAAGAAAATGGCCCCCAAAGAGAGGTGTAGCCTTGTTGGAAGAAGCTACTCCCAGTGAGACAGACCACTTCCTGTTACCTGCAAAATATGGGACTCTCAGCTACGTCTCCAGCACCATGTCTGCTGGCATGCCACAATGTCTTGCTCTTGCCATGATGATAATGAAGTGAACTTCTGAAACTGTAAGCCACCCCACTGAAATGAGTTGCTGTGATCATGGTGTCTCTTCACAGCAACAGAAACCCTAATTAAGACACCACGCCAGGACCTTGTACATTCTAGCCAAGTGCTCCACTGAGCTATAGTGTTCAAGTTTTTGTATGGGCACACATTTTAATTCTCTTGAATACACACTTGGGGCAAACTGCTTTATTGAAGTATATCTGTTTAACTTCCCCCACCCCCAAGACAGGGTTTCTCTGTATTGCTTTGGAGCCTGTCCTGGAACTCGCTCTGTAGACTAGGCTGGCTCGAACTCACAGAGATCCGCCTGCCTCTGCCTCCCAAGTGCTAGTATTAAAGGCGTGCACCACTAATGCCTGGCTGTTTAACTTTTAATGTGGTTCATTTTGTGTTTTACAAAAGGATTTGTCAGTGCCCTTACCTGTGAGCAATCTTGCTGACCTCTACTGGTCTCTCTATGTAGTCCTGCTGTCTCAGAGATTGCTAAGTAGACCAGACTGGCCTTGAACTCACAGATCCTCCTGCCTCTGCCTCCCAAGTGCTGAGATTAAAGGCGTGTATCACCTTATCTGACCAATTTTTTTTTAAAAAAATACCATTCTTTATCCAACTGAACTTTCTTGGCATCCTTACTGAAAATCAAATAACTACACAAGGGTTTATTTTCCACACTCTCTATTCTATTTCATTGATCTATGTGTCTATCATTATATTTGTACCATACTATTTTGATTACTGCAGCTTAGTACTAAGTTTTGAAATCAAGAAGTATTAGTCTTTCAACACTGTTACTTAAAACTGTGTTAGTTTTTCTGGGTCTCTTATATTTCCACAAGAATTTTAAGATTAGCTGTCCAAATTCTAAAAACTATGTATGTATAGAGCTGAGCTTTGGTCAGGAGTGAGTATGTGTGTGTATGTATGTGTATGTATGTATGTATGTATGTATGTATGTATGTATGTATGTATGTATGTATGTCCTGAGAAACACTGTCACATTAACAATATACAATCTTCCATGCCACAAACACACGAGCCCTTTTATTTGTCTTGTTCACTTTTTTTCCATTTTTTTTTTATTTGAATTAGAAACAGCATTGTTTTACATGACAATCCCAGTTCCCTTCTCCTACCCATCCTCCCGTACCCCCCCCAACTAAAACCCTACCTATCACATATCCTTTCTGCTCCCCCCTGGATGGTGAGGACTTCCATAGGGGGTCATTAGAGTCTATTGTATCCTTTGGGATAGGGCCTAGGCCCACCCCCATGTGTCTTGGCTCAGGGAGTATTCCTCTATGTGGAATGGGCTCCCAAAGTCCACCCCTATGCTACTGAACTACTACAGGAGGTCCCCTCACTGAAACCCATGTTCCTGGGGTCTGGATCAGTCCCATGCTGGTATCCCAGCTTCTCTCTTTTTTTCATTTTGGTTTTTTGAGACTCCTTCAAAGCTAGGGTTTCATGTAGCCCAGGCTGACCTCGAACTCCTGATCCTCCGGCCTCCATCATTAAGTGCTAGGATTATAGATGTGCACGATCACACCTGACTCAATGCTTGATTGATTGATTGACTGAGACATGGTCTCTCTACAGAGACCTGGCTGTCATGGAACTCTGTAGACCAGGCTGGTCTCAAACTCATAGAATTCTGCCTGCCTCTGCCTCTGCCTCTCAAATGTTCTTAACTGTTGAGTCATCTCTCCGGCCTTCTTTGTTTTCCCCTTGTTTTTTCTAGACAGTGTTTCTCTGTGTAGCTCTGGCTATCTTGGAACTTTCTCTGGACACCAGGTTGGCCTTGAACTCAGAGATCCACCTACCTCTGGCTCCCACGTGCTGGGATTAAAGGTGTGTGCCACCAGTGCCTGGCCAGATTATTCCCCCGCCGCTAGCTGGAACATACCTTGGCAGTTGTGCTTTAACTTGCTTCTGACATAGATTGTGGTACCTCTCCACTTTCAGAAATCCCTGATTCAACATTCTCTGACAGACCAAGTCCATTCTTTTACATACCTATAAGCAGAGGGGAGACAGAATTAAAAAAAATAAAACCAATGACCAAATTCATTAATGATAAACCTGGATGGGATGACTGAGGTGGGAAGGTCTCTGTGCATTACCGTTCCTAAAGCGGTATCTACCAGTGTCATCAGTCCCAAGGAATTATTATGGTGTCTCACTAAGAAATTGTTTGGGCAAAGATGTTACTTAGATGTGAAGAATATCCTGTCTGCAGTACAGTAAAATGATGTAACTGGAAGCTTTTAATAGTTTGAAACATTCCCTTTTACTCCCCCCACAAAAGGGTAAATTCAAATTTTAGTCTAATCTCAGAAATACTAGCAGAATGAGAACTTGTATTTCTTGGTGATTGGGTCATGATGTCCAAGGCTTTCAGATGAGATGCTGTTATATCCTCCAAAGCCTCTCAACGGACATTGGAAAGGCAACCACTTTTGGGTGCTGAACACAGAAACAGTGTGCCAGATCTGTAGGTGTGGATAGTAGGTAGCTCATTCTGCTTCAGTCCACCTGAAGCCTTGCCCAAAGGGGTGTGGCCACCGTTACAGGTTCACTGGCAAGACCGATGCAAGAGACAGCTGAGACAATCACAAAATGAGATTAAATCACACAAGCTAATTCCTTTGGACTACTCTAAACCACTGCATACCCAAAGCCTCTGTTCTACAGATCTAATTTCTGAGCAATCTTAGCATCTTTATTATCTTTTAATACTTTAAATCCAGCACATAAAACTTAAGTGGTTTTGTCGTGTCCCCCCCACCGTCCCGAAAATTTTATAATGGTTTGGTCATCAACCTAAAGGTTACTTCTCACTGTACAGGCTAGATGCTACAAGCTATTGAAGCTAGTGCCTTCCAAGGCCATGCCAATTAGCAGAGGCTATGCCATGCTTCTTTTTATATGTCCTATTCCATTCAGTATCTATAAACAAATACTTGCTATGTGTTTGTTAAGATGAAATCTCTAAGTTTATTTTTCCTGGGAGCACAGGAAGACAAAAATTCCTGTACACTGAGCTGAATTTCATGAAGATTTTCATGTTTTAATATTGAATCACAGCAGGCCATATGAAACACATTAGGGAAAAGTTATTTTCAACTATATAATAAAGTAAAAAAACAAATTGAGGGTAGTGACACACCCCAGTAATCCCAGCACTGAAGAAACAAGAAGTGAGAAGGCTATTTCAAGTTTGAGGAGTTCCAGGCCAGCCAGGGCTATATAGCAAGAACGTCTCAAAAAATTCCAAATCACTGCTTTTTAAACCCACCGAGGGCTCTGTTCATTCAAAGGCAAAGAGTAATTGGGATTTAGTTTCCAGTGAAATGTAAAAGAACCCTATGAAGAGGGCACAATGAATCATTTCTACTTTACAGTAAATTTAAAAGGGGTATCGAGAGGGTTCAATGTCCTACCCACATACTGAGAAAGACGAACAAGGTCACATATAACCAGGCTGTTCTTGAATTTATTATGTATCAGAGGATAGCCTTGACCTCCTGGTCTTCCTGCCTCAACCTCTCAAGTACTGGGATTATAGGCATGTGCATCACACTTGATTCTGAACATACATGCATGCCTGTGCACATGCGTTTTAGACAGAGGTGTGTGTGTGTTTTAGACATAGACTGACTGTGTGGCTCCAGCGGCCTTGGAACTCATTACGTAGATCAGGCTAATCTTAAACTCAGAGATCTTTCTAACTCTCAAGTGCCAGTATTAAAGGCAAGTGCCACCTCACTTGGCTTTATAACATGTTTTAAATGAAAAATAATTTCCTTTTAAAACCATGCTTAGTGAGAAGCACTATTTTACATTTGTCAAAGTTCTTTGATATGAGAAAATTCTAAAAATTATTTCCACAAGAACATACAAGCAGATATTTTAATTGTTACTAACATATAGACAAGGTCACAGGCCACGTAACTACTAGAAAACACTATGGTATACTTTAAAAGAACGAGTGAGAAATATAGTATCTTAGTACTGAACAGAAGTATCTGCGGGGCTTCACTGCTCTTCCAGCACTCATATGGAAGCTCACAACCTTCTGTAACTCAGTTCCAGGGGATCTGATGTCCTCTTCTGGCCTCCCCAAGTACCAGGTGCCCAGATACACATGAGGACAAACACCCATAAACATTTAAAAATGAAACAAAACATAAGAATGAGTTACCTGCAATCTTACAGAGCCCATTTTGGGAACCACTGTAGGCTCTCTGGAACACACTTTAGAAATTCAGTATCCTAATATGGAATAAACACATCACCACAAACATGAGCACTGAATTTTTTTTTTTTTTTTTTTGTGGAAAATGTGAGGAAGAAAAAGATAGTATATTTATGTGTGAAATGGAAACAGAGAAGGCTAAATTCTCATCTTTCAAGGCAGAAAGTTAAGACCTTCTACTGTTATAGGATATTTCTTGTATCTTTGAAACATTACTAAGTTCTGAGATTAAATAATTTTTTGAACAACCACATATTTACAAACCCCCTAAGGCCAATCGATTATTCCTGTGACAACTGTAAAGTACTGTTGAAATTACTTGTTATGAGTTTTGTTCCACTGGATCTATCTGGTTCTAAGGGTTCTATTGTCTTTCTTTAACCATGCAGAAATTCAATAATATGATTGCTTTACTAATTTGAGTAGGTAAGACACACTAATGAGAACCCAAAAGTCAACCAAGCGGAAAGCACATGACTGAAGATCTGAATTAGGCTTCTAAGGAAGAAAGAGCAAGACTGCAGCATTACAGGCAATGGTTCTGCAAATGGACAAAGTCTGCAATAAGCAAAGTACCAAGCAAGTATTTCTGAAGACAGATTAGATGTACAGGGAAGGTGAGAGAAAATTTCCCAAGTCTTAAGCCTGTAAATCAGATAATGAGAAACCACTCTTAAAAGACAATCCCCAATCTTTTCAAAGAGTTGATGCTGGGGCAGTTGGCTGTTTTTTTCTGTAAGCACTGTAATATTCAGAGTTAAAAAAATTTTCTTCTGAAAACTCACTGGAGACAGCTGAAATCAATATGGATGAAGCCCAGAGGAAAAAGGAGAAGATAAAAGAAAAAAAATGCTTATAAATGAAGCCTGCACTGACATCCATAGATGGAAGCTAACAGAAAGGACAAAAACAGAAAAAAACAAAAACCACGTCACAAAGACAAATTAGAGCAGCACCACAGAAGCCAACATCAAACACACACTGTGAATCATTAGTCAACAGCGTCTGACACGCAGTGTTTATTGGTCCTTCTTCTTTCATGAATGCTCAATAAGCACCAACAGCACAGGCATGAAGATACATGACCACACACACACACACACACATCTGTTTAGGATTCAAAAGGAGGCAGTCATCTTAGGAAATCTGGACTGTACTAAATGTCCTTCCCTATGGAAAGCAACTTAATGACCACTGCTGCCAGTATATGCTAGCCTGCAACTCTCAATCACCCCACTTAGGCAGAGTGCAGAGGTGCTGGGTACAGCACCACACCACACCTAACTGCAGAAACACCACCCTGCACAGCAGAAACAATTCCCAAACTGCCTCATCTAAAGTGCAGTTCTAAATTTAGGGGCATGTTAATAATTTTCTATGGCTCAAGGGAAAAATTTTCTTTGGTTGTTAATATCAACAAAAATCCTAGCCAATTGGCAGTTTACCTAATATACAAATTAAAACACACAGCATAATAAACAAAGATGATGCCTATGTCAGAAACCATTGGGGTTCACAGGAACAAGCAAGAATGTTAGAAAGGAAAGGCTGAGAAGGGTCGAGTCGGGTGGGAAAAGGCTAACCAACAGTCACTAAGCTCCATTTAAAGGTTGTAGTTACCAAGTGCAAGGTAACTACAGAGATCAAATACAGTACACTTACATATGCCAGGAAAAGATTTTAAATGTTTTCACTATAAAACAAACTATAAAGGTTTGAGATTCTTGTTTATGCTAATTTGGACATTACACAACAGATATGCGTGTCCAAACCTACTCCAAGCATTGGTGGTACATGCCTGTAATCTTAGCACTTGGAAGGAAGAGCTAGAGTTCATGGCCAGCCTGGGCTACATATCAAGTACAGGCCAGCACGGACTGCACAGTAAGACTGTCTCAACAAAAACAAACTAATTAACTACCAGTTTTCCAAATATGCACAACACTTATGCATCAACTTAAAAAAAATAAAGCCTGGGGGGGGGACCAAATGATGTAGGAAACAGCTTTTGGCAGCACTTACAGTTTTTAAAAGTCATAGACAATTTAAACATGTCAGTTATAAACATCAATATACACAATGGATCCATGTATCTGTTAATAGTTTTGAAAGTTATTTTATATGTATAGGTTTTTGCATGCATATATGTTTGAGTAGTATGTGCAGACATGATGCCTACAGAGAGGCCAGAAGATCCCCTGGACCTGGAGTTACAGGTGGCTGTGAGCTGCCACGGGAATGCGGGAATGGAATCCTGGTTTCCTGGAAGAGCAGCAAGTGCCCGCCAGGCCCAGTTTTTCTAGTTTTATTGGGAAGAAAAAAAAATAAATGCTACATAATTATTGGAAAAATATACTCCCACCAAAAAACCCCAAACAAAGGGAACTAATAAACTCCACCATTGTACAGCAATGACACTGCTGTTTTAATATTAGGAAACAGAATTAAGTTTTCCTAACTCATTAATTACTTCAGGATTTAAAATGTCATGTTTATTCTTTTTAAAAATCATTTTTTAAACTTAAGTGTTAATAAAATTTTTCTTCATATATATTTGTTTTTTGTTTTTAAGATTTTTTGAGTTTTTTTTAAAATTGGTGTTTTGCTTGTATGTATGTCTGTGTGAGTGTGAGGGTGTTGGATCCTGGAGTTATAGACAATTGTCAGCTGTCATGTGGGTGTTGGGAATTGAACCTGGGTCCTCTGGAAGAGCAGTCAGTGTACCTAACCGCTGAGCCATCTCTCCAGCACCCCCCTCACATATTTGTTTAAAATTTTGTTTTTTAGATTTGTTGTCAACCATGGTCTTTCTCAACAATGCAAAGCAACTGCATGATAAAATCTGTGAAACTTGCAATTTTCCTTTAATATCTCTGAAGTCAAGTTTTATTTAATTCTAAGGTAGACACTTGGCTGAGCAGCTTATAATACATGATGCCTTTTAATTTGCAGCATTTCCTCCTCTGATGCCTGAGCTGTCTTGAAAAAAAAATACTACCCTGGAAGTCTTCAGTTTTGCTTAAGATGCTATAAAGACTTTCAGATATCACTCATATAAATCACCACAGTAACATATACAGCAGCTCAAGGTACACTCTGATTTCATAAATACCAAGCTATGAAACACTAACTTGGAATGGAGGACATTGTGTAATACAGCTCAGTTTTTACAACATATTCTCTGGTGCTTTAGTTGTTTTGTTTGTTTGTTTGTTTTGTTTTTCAAGACAGGGTTTCTCTGTGTTGCTTTGGAGCCTATCCTGGCACTCACTCTGGTGACCAGGCTAGCCTCGAACTCACAGAGAACTGCCTGCCTCTGCCTTCCGAGTGCTGGGATTAAAGGTGTACGCTACCAACGCCCGGCTGCTCTAGAGTTTTGTTTCATTTTTTAAGTGAAACGCTTGGTGTTTTTCTCTAAATAATTCAAAAGCTATCATTAGAGATTCAATGCCTGAGTTCAAACTACTGATACGAGACTACAGAGCAGAACTTCATTTTTCACTTGTTTTGACTGGGGACAGGGTCCTGAGTATAGCCCAGGCTGAATTTGAACTTGAAGCAATCCTCCTGTCTCAGGTTTTCAAGTGCTGAGATCACAATTACATGCTACTACAGGTGACTTCACTAGTTATATGCCCCTGAACTCTTCAAAAGATCGATAGCAGAAAAGAATGGAAGTGTGGAGTATTCTAGAGCTTAATTCTTTATCAGATCCAAGATGCTCCTCCCCCCAAAGAGCTATAGAAGACATCTGAGGAAAACTGAGAAAGCTGAAGATAAGCTCGAATGCTAAATCCCGGAAACAGATGACACTGTGGTTACACAAAGCAAGTACTGAGAGGTACGTCTTATATTTGTGCTCTTCAAACGGGTTAGTAAAAGGTGAGCTACATCTTTGCCCGTGCACCCAACTGCCCCACCCCATTTAGAGCAAGAGACTGAGCAGACAAGTGAAGGAGTCAAGGTAAAGGTGCCCAGAATTAATGATGGATGAAATGACATTTATAAAATCATAGTTAATGAGGACATCCATTCTGCCTGTTTTCTTTCCTATTTTCTTTTTCAGGGAATTCACTTTCATTTCTCTTGTCCAAAGAAGGATCAACTTACCAAGTCTCACATAACAGTATTTTATGTTTCCTAAAAAATGATGTCCACCTTACAAAACAGGCTGCCTTACAGTGCTCGTGCTAGCACACAGTATATGTATACATAAGCATGGGTGATTTGCTTGCACACACATCTTTTGCGCACCATGTGCCCTTGGAGGCCAGAAGAGGGCATTGGATCCCTGCAACTGGGTCATGGATGGTTGGGAGATGCCAGAGCTATGAGTGCTGGGAATCAAACCTAAGTACTCTGGAAGAGCAGCCAGTGCTTGTAACCTAGTACTATGGCATATTATATACACCACATATACATCATAATTCTCAATCATCAGCAGGTAGAATTATAAGAAATATTTTATCTTGGGTGGTTTGTCCCCTAGATATTCACTTGAAAGAAAATATAAATTCATTTTACATTAGTCTGAGAGAAACAATTAGGAAGAGTCTGTTCCGAGGATTCCTATAAAGCCAGAAGGAAGACTTTTTGAAGAGTTTTCTGTTATCTGGGCTGTTCTCCTTAGTAAAGGAAGTGAGCATTGATTAAAATGTGGGTACTTTGATGCACCATTAAAAATGGCCATCTTGTTTATACTATGCTAATTTAGTCTCAGAACTTTTTTTCTTGGGGGTGGGGGGTGGGTAGAGAGATGATGACTCAGCAGTTAAAAGTGTTTGTTGTTCTTCCAGAAGACCTGTTTGGTTCCCAGCACTGTCATAAGGGTGGCTCATAGTTACTTGTAACTCTAGCTATAGGGAATCCAACACCTCTGGCCCCTACAGCAACTACACACATGTGGCCGACACAGACACACACATATAAATAAAAGCAAAACAAATCTTAAAACATGTTTTTCCTTAAGCTAAGAATAGTAGTGTATGCTTGTAATTGTAGCATTTAGGAGGTGCTGGCAGGAGGACCCAGAGTTTGCTAGTTTGAAGCCAACCTGAGCTAAACCA